TCTCTCTCTCTCTCTCTCTCTTCTCCCTTCTTCTTCATCTCTCAAACCCAGATCTGGGTTTTTCTTAGTCATATCGTGTTCATTTTCTATACAAAATGATAATCCAAAAAAACCTTCAAGCACGAATCACTCAAACAATAAAACTAAAGCAAACAATTTATCAGAAAAAAGAAATGTTAATCCATACAGAAGCTAAAGGATTTAAACTGTAACCATTAGAAGTAAGAACAAAATTAGTGTGTAGCAATTCACTACTAACCTTTGTTGCACAAAAAGAAGATCAGCGATCTGAATAATTGTTTGAGAATCCTAAGTAGAAAGTGAATTGACATGTCCAGCATTTCAATGCTAAAGAAATAGTGGAAGAAAGAAAAAGGCGATATGAAAAGACAGAGAAACTCATCCATCCATTTCGAAAAGAAAAAAACATACAAGAAGTAAAAAATCCACAAAAAAAGCATTAGATACTGTAACCATGCCATCATTTACAGAGCTAAAATTGAAACATAACTAAAAAAAGGATCCAAAATAAGAATGGTGTTCGGGACATGAATCATGCTCCACCTCCAGATTTGGAGCAATAGAGCTTGCCAAACACATGAAGCAGAGACAAAGCCGATGAAGCAGAGACTCATGACAAGGACAACGGTGGGCGAGATCTTCAAGCCAGGGGCCTCGTCAACCGTTGTTCCAGCCTATAGTGAGCTAGATCTCGACGCATGTTACTACCGGAGCCGGAGCTGACAGAGCCAGATCCTGACACGGCCAAGTGTACAGTAAACATGCGACGGCACATACCAACCGTTGCCGCTACAGAGCCGTGCGGGGGCCATGATGCCAGGCTTCAAGCTCTTCTTCACAACAGTATTCGTTAATGCAGAGGAGAAATGGCGAGTGAGGAGAGAAGCGGAGGTGGATGGAGAAATGTAGAGTTTGTCTAAAGCCCCGATCTGGGTTTGAGGCAAACCCAGATCGGGGCTTGAGACAAACCCAGATTTGTGTTTGTTTTGATGAAGAAGCAGCAACAGCAGCAGCTAAAACTGATGAGTGGAAGAAAGCATGGAGGCTCACGAAAAAAACCAAAGCAATCTCCACTTAATGAGTTTCCATCATTGGGCAAATCTGTGTTTGTTTTGGAGAGGAAGAAAATTCGATAAGAAAGAGAAAAGAATAAGAAAGAAGATGAAGCTCTTATTTTTTTTGTCTTTAGTTATGAAAAAATATGAAATAATAAAAAAAAAATGTTAAATTTTCTTACCTGAAATTTACACGTAGTTAAAATTAAAAAGTTTCAATGATTTTGTGGCAAGATAACGTGCCACCTGTCACTTAACTAACATAAGGACTATTTTGGTTAAAAAAATGAAAATTTAAGGATAATTTTGATACTTTTTAAAGATGAAGAACAATTTTAGTGCCAAAGTGAAAAGTTGAGGGATC